GAGACTACTTTTGAATCTTGTTCATTTCGAAACATATTTCCCGTCCATTTCAAACATAACGGCAGAGGGTCGCCTGTTAAATTTAATTCTTTTATTATTTGCTCATTAATTAAACTTATTGACGAGCCCTCGTCTATGAAAGCAAAGGTTTTTATGGTTTTGTTATCATTGCCGTATATAGTAATTGGTATAATTTTAAACTAAATTTCACTACTTACATTACCACTGTGCGCTGCATGTAAATTGGTTGTATTGTTTTTATTTTCATCTGTTTTGCTTTTTATTTTCTTATCATCTGTTGATTTGTGTAGCAAAGTATGATGTTTTATTTGACATCCCTGTTTCGAGCACACTATTTTGCTGTTACAAATACCATTGTGACGTTTTAAACACTGTTTGCATGGATTATGATTTCTTAATATGTTCCATTTTTCGTTTCTATCCGCAGTCAAGAATTTCTCACACTTTTCAACACTACTACAGTTGTCAGAACATACTACGCAGTTTCTTTTGCTTTTTAATTCGTGTGTGTTAACATATGCATTTCTAGTTCTACGTGCATTCTGTTCTGCTGACGTCGATGTGTGGCTGTCGGTCTCTATGTTTATGCTGCTTGCTGATACGCCGACTTCAAAAATCCAATTGGCGAAATCTGTCAAACTTATCTTTTGTTTACTTTTTTGCAATTTTGTTTTTTGTTCACCCCAGTTCAGCTGAAAGTATGATGGCATTTTCATAACCAAATCTTGCAATAAAGACGAATTATTAAGTTCGTCAAGCAATTAACAAGCTCTTATTGTTGTTTCAAGACCTTTTAATTGTATTCAATTTATTTGTGTTAAGAGTAGGCAATGATTTTATTTTGTTTTTCAGGGAGTTTAGTATTTTTTCTGGTTGGCCGTAAAGTAATTTAAGAGTTGATATGGCACATGATACGCCGTAAGGATGAATCAATATATGCTGGACATAGCGTAATGCGCCTTTTGAAGCCGGACCAGATTTTCTGCGTCGGTTAAACCGCAAACTGAGGTAGACCAATCGTATGTAGAACTGAATAAAGGCCACTCTTCGGACATCCCAGTAAATATTGGCAGTTCTTTAGGTACTGATTGGCGTGCATTTATTTGTTGCTGCGTAAGTCTTCGATCAACGTTTGTGCTTGGCCGGAAAGTAAACGATGGATACGTTGTTGGATCCATGTTAGGAAAATTAAGTGGAGGTGCGGTTAGTGTTGTGGACGGTGGGTGCATGTTAAACGTTGGATCGGTATTACTAAAGTGAGGTAGATTCGATGTTATTGTGTGGTTTTCAAAATTTAGATTGGTATTTAAAATGTTATTTATATCTGCATTAGTAGAATGTAAAAAATTACTCGCTGTGTTATTAATAAAAGATGTTATATTTTTGTTGAATGCCGTAGTTGTACTAGCAGGTAGAGTTGCTGTTGTGTAAACAAGGTTTGTACTTACATTTTGACGTGTTGCTTGAGGATTAGATGAGTTTGGTATATTTGTGGATAAAGGTTGATGAGGAAATGCAAAATAGGGTCTCTCATTAGACGTATTTTGAGATTCTTCAATGGTCGTATTTAAATGTATTGGTTCTTGTATAGACGTAGGCTGTTGAACTGGATCCGGCTGGTTGTTTAACCATTCATGCACAGAGTTATTAACTGTTTGTGCATCGTCAGAGTCATCCTCTGCACTTTCGAGAATTTGATATTTCTTTCTAATGAATTCCCTTTCGAGTTGCACCTCTTCTTGTAAGCGTAGAAGCTCTAAAGCTTGTCTGCGGGAATGCGATGAAACTGATGAACCGCTACGAACGGAGACAGGGGAACCGACTGCTCTTTGTGTTTGCTTTGAACAATTTTTACAAAGCCATGTGAGCTGTTGCTGGGTATTATCGATGTTTGCACAAATGAAATGAAATATAGAACTGCATTTGAAGCACTTTATGGCGTTGATATCGTCGGATGGTTTTTTGCATATATGGCAATTTATGGAAGAATTCGATGTTGATTCACTTACTTGGTGATGATCTGGTGGTTGACCCTGTTGGGAAGCAGAAGAAGGATCCATTTTTTTTAGGACCTACGGTAGTTTTGGCCAAATGGTTTTCTTCAGGTTTATCCAATTAGGAATTTATTACCAGAAAAAGAATTTTAAAAATGTTAGGTGAAGCGCCCAAGCTCTGTGAATCCAATTGTAGATTATAAACGAAAAGCACAAGAATTTTTAGGAACAAATTTTATTATTTATTTCTTATACTTTTACATTAAAATTCCTGAAATTCACATTAATAAATAATAAATTTATTTACAAAGTTTAGCAACTATAATTCAAAAAAATTACTAACTTTTTCGTATGGAAACCAAGAGCTAAACTTCTTTATGATATTACAACATGATCTATGTATATTTTACAATAAAAATGGCTATTTATACGATGTAAAAAAATGAATTCATTACAATACCGCGTGGAAATATAAATAATGCAATCCAAATATTTGCGACTGGGAGTTAGGCGATAAGTAACAACTAAACAATAATAACGATAATCGATAATTAGTAATACATAGTAGCAATTAGACTGTGGCGCTAACATTATTATTCTTTGCTGTGAGTAGGTTCGAACGGTGTTTGAGTGGTATCCGAGCTTTTGAGAGAGAATGTTTGATCGTAAATGTAAATAAGATGATTCTTTCTATGTTAAGTTAAATTTTTGTTTAAATTTTTCACTCAACAATTATTTTGTGGATTTCGATTCAATTTAGAGAGGGAAATTTTATTTTTCACATAATCCTAACTGTATTCAAAACCTTGTTGTTGCACTTTTGTCTTCACTTTGTTTTTTTCTCTTTTTTTTATTTAATTTCACATGCACTTTATAGGTATGTAAATAATATCACTTACTTTTTATTTGTTGATTTTAGAGATGAATTTTTATGTATTTAAGGGGTTGAAGTTGTCCTCACAAAACATAGAATTTTTCTGACCAATAGCGGTTTATTCAGTGTAAGATTTCTCGGGGGTTTCGGATAGAATTTTTCCTCTGAAATTAGATAATTTGTCAAAAGAATCTACGACTTTATCCGGTTCGATTGGACCAAAAAATGTTGGGGTAAGGTCGTTAGATTTTTTGACAAATATAATAAAATAAAACGGGGATTAGTAGGGGTTAATTAGTGGGGGTTAATTATCTTTATTTTGTAGCGATATACCCACTTTTTTCCTGGGGGTTTTGTTTAGAAGTAAGTTTAAGTTACAATTCTTTTCATCTTAAGGTCTAATGTATAACAATTATATTTTTTCACAAAAGAGCAAGAGAACACACGGCGATTGGAAAGTTTCCCACAGCCACGGATGTTTAATTAAAAGCACTTAAATATTAACTTATTTACATATAAACAGCGTGTATACGTGGAATTTAGGAAGATACTTATATGAGGGCTATGATAAATTGTGGAGTGATATTTCCAATTTTTAATAACAAGCAAATTGCATCAACAGGCATTTCTAGGCTCCTCCGCTTGGGCACTATAATCTTTTACAGACAACTTAAAACGGAACAAGAAAATAAATATATACTTTTGTCGGTCTATGACATCGTCTTATTAATTATGAACATATAACCGCCAAAATTTTTCATGTTTTGGTAATGACCAGTAGTTTTTTATACCCACCATCAAAAAAGATAGACGGTAAATAGATTTTGTCATTCCGTGTGTAACACATCGAAATATTGTTCATAGACCCCAGAAAGTAAATATATTCTGGGACCTCGTAAGATTCTAAGATGATCTAGCTATGTCCGTCCGATTGTATGTTGTTGGCACGATAGCGTCCACAAATAAAGAGATAAGCAAATGAAATTTTCCCAAAATATTCTTTATTAATCAGAAATGTTTGGTATTGAAAATGGGCAAAATCGAACAACGATTTCACATAGCCCCCATACAATGTACCCCCCGGAATATTGTGTAAAAAGCTTCAAATATTCACAAATTCGTTGTTTATTAAGCAAATGCCACGAAATTTCGTACAAGTCAGTTTGACTTCCGAAATTAAATTCTAAATAATGGCGGATAGGGGACCATATAGAAATGACTATAACGTTAATTACCGTCTGCAAAATAACTATATGGCCACAAAATTCGACATAAGCAAGTATTGTATGACCCCAAATATCTCGTAATCTCGTACGTAATTTGGTGGGGATCGGTCCATATTTGACCGCCTATATAAGGTCCTATCAGAAAATTACTTTAACGCTCATTACCGACATGAAAATTCTAATAGAGCGATGAACTTCGACATAAACATGACTTGTATGAACGAAAATCGTTTACGAGGATAGACCTATAATTGACTTTACGCCCCATATAAGGCACCATGAGAAAATGACTTTAAGGTCCCCATTACTTTAACGCTCATTACTGGCTTAAAAATGCGAGTACAACGACGAATTTCGACGTCATCATTATTTGTATGAACCAAAATCCTTTTACAAAATTTAGGTTTTTGACGAATTTCATAGTTCTACCTATAAAATTCGACATATACTAGTTTTTTATGAGCTAAAATTTGTCTACCAAACTCTACGAGGATCAGTCCATAAGAGACACTACCTCGCATGTAAGTTCCCTTTCATAAAATCACTTAAACGCTTATTACTGGCTTAAAAATGTGAATACAGTGATGAAATTCGACATAAATATATAATTGATCGGTATTAAAACTGGTAATAAAACGGGTATTGTTTTGGTATAGATTCCGTTATGACAACGGTATTGTACCGTTATGATACCAGTACAAGGGTAAACGGTATTTGAAGCCGGTATTTATACCCATAAACTTACATATTTCGGTATCGGTATCACTAGTGGTATTCAATTAAAAACGGGTTTTAATCGCTATCGTTATTTATAACGGTATCAGTTGCCAACCTTGGTATTTACTTAGTTCTAAATCAAACATTTTTATCGTTTTTATTTTGCAGAATCTTAAGAATCAGATAATGACAACGAATTTGTGGGTAGAACAGTCTTGGTATGATTACAAACTACGATGGGAACCAAAGGAATACGGAGGAGTGCATATGCTTCATGTGCCTTCTGATCACATTTGGCGGCCGGATATTGTTCTTTATAATAAGTAAGTATCGATATTAAAATTGTTATATAATATGGAAATAATTTTTTTTGAATTAATATTTTACACATGAGAAAATATCAGCAAATGATTTTCCTATATAAAATTTTGATTTTTTAAGGGTATTAGTTCAATATAATTCAATTTATATTCGTATTAGACACATTTTAAAAGGTCTGATCTCAAAGCTCACTATTTATGTATATTTAAATGAATTTCAAACACATTTTAACCAAATAATTGTCTAATCATTAGAAATTAAAACACACACCCATACGAATACATACTTACATATATAAACAATACTGTGGGTCGAAAATAACTTTTCGTTCAAATCTATAGCAAAATTCTTTTAATTATTATAAATTATAAGAGCCTGCGCATCGGACCCAAAATATGGATTTTATGGACATTAATTTTAGCAATATTAATAACGAAATCATTATCAACTCAAACTAATATTCCAAAATGATAAACATTTTAAAAATTAGTTGTAAGGTTTGGGATTTTTTTTTATCTTCTAAAATTTTTAACCAAAATCTCACTTTATTTATTTATTGGAAAGGTCATTTTATATAAATTATGATTCCGTTAAGAAAGTGCAAAATTTAATATCTACATATTTTCTGGTAAAACAGAAAAAAGAAACACATATTATTAGGTCTGTTCGCGTACTTTCCACTAAAAAATATACAGTAACTTTATGATAGAGAGTAATTTTTAATTTACTCTCAATCAAAAAAATATCCAAAAAAGTACGCGAACGGCAATTTGTAAAAAATATATTTTTTAATGTTCGTGTGTTATTAATTTATATATTTCTTTAAAAAAATGTAAAATTTACCAAGTTTTCGTTTTCTTTTGTTTGTTTACATATTCATATATCAACCATATGTTGTGAATACTCGTATATGTTGGATATTTTTTACTGGGGAAAAAATATCCAGTAAAATCAAAAAATTCTCTATCAACGAACTGTCATTTTTATATCTTAATCTCTCGTTGCAAGTTTTCAAAAGTACGCGAACGGAATCCAGTAACAATTGTTGCAAATTGTTACAAATTATCGAGTACGCGAACAGACCTATTATGTTTATAAGTATATATTCCAATTTTGTGACCAATGCGCATCAACTCCTAAAGCCCAAAAAATCTGTTGAGACTGTTAAATTCGGATATGCCGGATCATATATACCCACCATTAAAACATATGTATATAGTAATTTTAAAGTTACTTTTAAGAGGTAAATACTACATACATACAATGTACATTCAATAAATAATTATTATTTTATTCTAAGTGGAAACAGCGCTGAAGCCGAATCTGGCCTCAATATTTGATCATCACATGGCCATATTTGAGACCTAATATCTCAATATACATATACGTACTTTGTTTTGTCACTATAAAATAAATTTTTAACCTCTGTTATGTCTTCTCATCTTTTTTGAGATACATATGTTAGGCCAAAGTTATAAACTATTAATTCCAAAAAATAAGATATTGCCTTTTTTTACGGGAAAAAACTATAATTGGCCATATCTCAGCAAATGAAGATATAAGATAATGACCAAACACCAGATCCTCCTGTCCGGAGTCTTTCGTCAGCTGCACAGTTGTTAATTATTTGTTTATATAAAAAGTGCCTGAGGTTTGTCAAATTTTATTTATTATTTATATTTATTTAAAAAAAAAAATAAAATTTTTTAAACAAATATGTTTAATTCATCTTAATAGTGGGTATAAACATTTATATGTAAACAAATTTTCAAATTAAATTTTCAATTAAAAATTGATTTGATCTAAAAAGATTTATTTGATTCACCCTATTACATTGTACATTCATATGATTCATTACATGATTATAAAATACATTTAATTAATTAAAAACTCATATACATAATTAAAAAAAATAAGATTTATAAATGCACTCATTTACATTTTGTATGTATGTATTATTAAAAATTAAACAAATGTAATAAATTAAGTGAAATAGAGGAAGCTTAATAAGAAATGTAAAAAAGGAAACAAGTTCACACATTTAAAAGTAAAAAATTCACAGAAACACACACACATACATATAGATATATATAGTCATTGACTTTTTATATACGTGATGACGATTTCCTAAAATCGTTGGCACCATTTGTAATAAACATAATGAAATTAAATGTCCAGTGCCGACGGTAACTTTGAGGTGACACTTGCGACAAAAGCAACAATTTATTCTGAAGGATTAGTTGAATGGAAACCGCCGGCAATTTACAAATCATCCTGCGAAATAGATGTAGAGTACTTCCCCTTTGACGAACAGACTTGCGTCTTAAAATTTGGAAGTTGGACATATGATGGGTTCAAGGTAGGTTTAATTTTGTTGTTTTACAAAAAAAGTAATAATAAATAAAATAAAGAAGCAAAAAACCCCAAATGTCCATGTACTCTCTTCTCAATCTATCTATATATTTCTCTCACCCCATTACAAAAAAAAATAATTAAAAGTATTATATACATGCCTGTTCTTTTCCGTTTCGTTATCTGAATTGTATTTAAATAATTAATTTAATTATTTTAACTATTTCGTTTTTCTTTTTTCGTTTATTTCTCATAAAACTCCCGTGAATGCAACAATTTGTACAATATTGTAATCATTTCCATAACTATTTAATATAACAACACCTCCATTCATCAAACATTTACCATTTAATGCACACATCACATATGCGTACACATTTCAGTCATACATTATCAGCAACAACATTATACGTTTAGAGGTGACATTATGTTATGTTCTGACAACACAATTATTCGTAATTCACGCTCTCATTCGTATTTCAACCCCCAATTGTGGACTAACTCATTCGTACGTAATTGAGTTTGAACAACGAACGACTGAATGTCTCTAATTTTTATTGCATATTTTTAACATAATCAGCTGCTTGTAATCATTAGTTGGTCAGAAAGAAAAAACAGAAATTAATATTTTAAAATAAGACAAGAGTTATTTATTCGGCTGTGTTGAAAATCCTTTTCTACAGATTTTCATTGACTTAGGACTTTATACTCTCTCTATACTCTATGCTATACGCACAATTGGGACGAACGACGAATTTTTCGGAACGAATATTCGTCGTCAGAAATAGTACATACTTGTTAAAATGAAAATGCTCACAATAAGTGCGTATCCGAAATTCGTCGTACGTAACGAACGAGCGATAGGTTTATTTCTATTTCATACGCAGACGAACGACGAATATTTGGGTGTAGAGTGTTATGTACAACTTTTAACAGTGCATACATATGTAAAATACACGTCGTGTGATAACACCTTTAATGTTTTGTATTGCGGCGTTATGAAACACATCAACTGACGTTTTGTAAGTCAGCCATACTTCATGTTTCTAGCCAATAACAACACAAAGCTTCATAACGTGTGATCGCATGACACTGTGTGTGCACCAAAAATCTAAATTTTTTATGAAATTTTCAGAGATTGTCTCAGATTTTTGCTCATATCTCCGTTATTTGTGGACCGACTTTCCTGATTTTAAATATCAGGAAGATGTCTGGGGTCTTCAGAAAATTGATTTCAACAAACAGACAACAGACGGACAAAGCTTAATCGACTTCGCTATCTAGAAGGACTCAGAATATACATACATATATACTTTATATGGTCGGAAAATATTATAGAAATTACAAACGAAATAACAAACTAATATACACACATACATATACCCTTCTCACGAAGGTGAAGGTTATAAACATATAGTAGGGATATAGGCGAAACTGAAGGGCTTGTCAAACAAAATTTGTTATTCTCTTCACCCAGACGAGTTCTGAGAGAATAAAACACACTTGGGAAAACTAAACGCACTCACAAAACTTCCAATATTCTTCGAAATTGCGAGGATATTAACACTTAATAGTTTTTTTATCACTTAAACTTAATATTTATTATTTTTTGCCACACTTTTAATGAATTTAAAACCCCGAAAATAATTTATATTTTACAAAAAAAAATATTTTTTATTCTTTAACATTTCATTTTAATTAAAACTTCTGAAAAAATTAATTAACTAATATTTTCATTCACTAGTATATGAAGTCCCAGTAATAACATACAAAAAATTACGTATCAAAAATACATGTATTATTTAGTACATTTTGAACAACTGTGTTTATTTTTGTGCTCCTACTAATACATTCTTACAGATAGGTTTTTGAAAGGGCAGTGTTACCATTTTAGCACTTTCAGTGCTAGATTTGTCATTTTGCATTGAAGTTTTTTAAAATTATGCTAAATGATTTTTAGCATAATTTACTTGATAAAAAAAATTTAAAAATATTTATATGTTTTCTATTAAAAATATTATTGAAAATCAGTGGTTGTATATTACAAAACAACATTATGGTGAACAAGTAAGAATGTTATATTCGGCTGTGCCGAATCTTTTATACCCACTATCAAATCATGTGTCTTAAATTTCAAGTGAATTTCGGAAAGTGGACCTATACTATATAAATCGATACTTTTGCTACCACAATTTAATCATTTATTCTAAACTGTTTTATCATATATAAATCGTAATATAGTTAGGGTGATGGTAATACTTGTTTTATCATATTTTTTTATGATTTGATTTAATCTAAATTTACTTATGGTATGGACCGATCGCAAAAAAATTTGACAATTAGAATTATGTTCCTATAAAACTTGTTTATGTCGTTGCTTTACTATCATTTTGAAGCAAGTTATGAGCGTTAGAGTATTTTATATGGGGGGGGGGGGGGGGGGGGGGGGTACGCGTATACGTGAAAATGCATTTAATGAATTGTTTATTTTTGTATTGTCATTACTCGTTTCAACTTTTTCTAATGCCGCAGTTGAAAGGCTGAATTTTTATGTTCAATAATACAAATTCGAAAAGAATTGAAATTCGAAATGCATGCTGTTAAGTGGATTAATCATAAACAGATTTTAATTTTATACTAGTTTTATAAATCAAATTTTGTATGGAAATTTAGTATTAAAAATCTTTTACAAAATAAAATGCTGTTTATGAATATATAACTAATTATATTGCAAATAAAATAAGATCATTTGAAAAATATCAAAATGAAGATAACGATGAAGATATAGTACCATTTATATTGTTTTGTTATATTAAAAAATTTTACCACTTTTTTTCTTTTGTAGAACATTTTAGCTCATAGTTTTTTAAGTTTTAGCATATTTTAAAATTCATTTCATGGCAACACTGGACAGGGGACTTAGGTCTTTGACAATCCCTTTCGCCTATATGCTACTATATGGTTATAAATATAAAATACAAAAATATTTCTATTTTCATGTTTTCAAATAAAAATACAAAATCGTTATGTTGAATTTATTTGAAATGGAAATTACAAAAAACTATTTTAATTTTTACTTATTTCTATTTTCAAAATATTTTTCCTAAATAAAACAATTTTTTAATGCTCAAATGAATGAAGATATTTCTGACCTTGGAAAAATATAGTCCTCGAAAATTTGTAAAAAGTTAGCAAAATCTATTATGATTTACTTTTCCATTTCAGGAATTATTATTAAAGTATGGCCTTTTTTTAATATTATTTCTTTGAGGTATTTAAAAGAATCTTGATTCAGCACGTCGTACAATAATGTTCGTGCCAGCATCAGTTACTGCACACAATTCTTTATTTTGCAATCCATATTCAGTAATAATTTCTGAAATTTTTGCAGAAACGGCAGAACCTGTATGTGGTCTGGAGAAAATTTCAGTTTTAAGCGTAACTACCTTAAGTTCAAAGTTTTGGCAGATGTGAACTTTAAAATTGATATAAGTTAGTCCCTTGTAACTATCGGACCACATATCCAGCACAAATTTTATTTTATTTTTTTTTGATTTTTTTAAAATTGATTTCACGTGATCACATTATTTAAAGTTGTTGATGATACTGTGTAAGATGATGGGAAATTCGTTTTTAAATCCACGTTTGAATACGATTCCAATGCACATTTCGGCAAGTCTTCTAGCATTTTGAAATTTACTACACTTACTTAATTTTGTGTTTAACGCCTATTCCGTCATTGAAGAGGTTTCTTTATAATTAATGGATTGCAAATCCTTGTCGAAGTAGTCTTCAAAAAATTTTATACTTTACTTTTTTGTATCGCACATAAAGTTAAAATATTACTTACGTTTTTAGTTTGACGTGTTCTTCTTCAAAGTATTCTTTATAGCCCTGTCTTGGTGTAAACAAGTCGAAGTGCTATATTCGGCTGAGCCGAATCTTAAATAACCTCCATCAGCTACTTTTATATTAATAATTTTTTAATTGAGCAAATATTTGTAGAAATAAGTTTTCTCATGTCTTAAATAGAAAAACCGCAAGATTTAAACAGATTAAATCTGTTACAACCGCAAGATTTATTGAACATTAAAAACGCCGTTTTATTTTATATTTTTATGGCGCCCTAAGATATGCTTTAGCGATATATAATAATTTGCATGTATGCATTTAGGGAAATTCTAAATATATATAATATTGTTCTACACAAATTGATAGTGGAACTAGTTAAATACGGTTAAAATGATTTTCGGGACAGGGCCTAGTATGGGAGATATGACTAATTATAGACAGATCCTAAAAAATTCTTTAAGTAACATTTCTGTACATAAAAGCTATATTTCAGTCAAATTTTGTATCTATATCGTAATTTAGTAATAAGTAGTGTGTGTTTAAGTGATTTTCGGAAGGTAACCTTGTATGGGACCGATCGCACTCATTATTTTGGTAATGAGTAATGTGCGTTTAAGAGGACCTTGCATAGGAGCTATGACCAATTGTGATCCGATCGTAAAAAAAATCCAGAGTAACATTAATGTTAATAAAGACAACATTTTGGTTAAATTCTGTATATATGTCATTATTTGGTAATGAATATTGTGCATTTAAGTGATTTTCTGGAGGGGACCTTATATGGGAGCTATGACTAAATATGGGCCAATCGTAAAAAATGTTATAGTATAATTTCTGTATATAAGAGCAATATTTGTGCTAAATGTATGAATATCAATATTTGGTAATGAGTTATGTGCGTTTAAGTGATTTTCGGGAAGGAACCTTGAATGGGAGCTATGACCAAATCGTGAAAAATTTAACAGTAATATTTCTGTATATAAGAGCAATACTAGTACCAAATTTTATATGGATATCTAATTTTGGTAATGAGGTATGTGCGTTTAAGCAATTTTCGGGAGGGGACTTTATATTGGAGCCCTATGACCAATTATGGACCGATCGGAAAAAAATTGCATAGTAATATTTCTGTATATAAAAGCAATACTTGTATCA